GACCAAGCACTGAACCCTGTGGTACTCCGCTAGTGGGTACGGCTTTGGCCGAAACATTGTCTCCAATCCTCACGTAAAACGTACGACCGGTCAGGAATTCCCTGATCCAATCCCTCGGTAGCATGCCCTGGTCTAAACTGGCTTGGTACAAATCCCTTGCGATCCCGCTATTATGTCCGCGATCGGCTTGACGATTGTCGGGTGAATTCCATCGGGCCCTGGAAATTTACTTACGTTCAGCTCCGCTAATTTCCGATGAACCACTTCTAATGACACATATATTATCCATTTCCTCTGATGAGGGGGTGAGATCCGGTAGTGCCAGATCGTCGCAATCTACTCGACGCACACTACTGAAGTGTGTGCAAAAGGCGTCTACTTTTTCCTGGTCATCGGTGATGGTCCTACCTTCCAATTGTAGAGGTCCCATCATCCAGTTCAGTTCAATGTCCAATGTCTAGTTTACAGGGGAGAAAGCTCATTGGCTTGTAGTTTTGCCCGTTTCTTAATCTATGCGGTAAAGTTTGATGTTCAGAAATTTCTGTTTTGAATTCGTTCATTCTTGTAATCTGAAAGTGTAAACCTAAAAAAAGGTTAGTAGGTTGCTTCTTGTCGGTGTAGCAGGTTAGTTACCTGTTATCAGTTAGCTGAACCGAATTGCATGCCTTACGAGGTGTGCTGCGTGGACCATCCAGAGGTCAACCTGACATTTCTTCGAGGGTACTCAAGGTGGTTGTCCACTGCTGAGGTGATGCCCACGGCGAATTTATCTAGACTTTGTTTGAAGCACGCTGTTGTGGGCGCAGAGACCACTTCCTCAGGTAATGAGTTCCAAGCGGATGTGGCCCGGATGGAGAAGCGTAACCGTCTGCTGTTAGTACTACTCTGCGGGTGCAAGAGGGTCTTAGAGTGTCCTCGCAGTTTTCGGTGCGATGATAGTGCTATTAGTTCCCTGTATCGGCGACTATGTGTCGATACTATTTTTTGTATCAATATTAAGACTCCTGTAGGAAGGGTAAAGAGGTTGAGTCGCTTAATTCTATCTCCGTAGCTCAGTTGTGATAGCCCGGTGACTCGCTTGGTGGCTCTTCTCTAAACCGCTTCCGGTACTAAGGTTGGGGGCACGCTTGAATGGGAACATTAAAAGTAAATTATACTTTGCGAGATGTGAAATGATATAAACGTGAGTTTGAGTGTT